GAAGTTCTCAAAGATTCAGGGCGGCACAGCAAGGATCCGGAAGAGCGCAGGGCCATGGTTGAATTAATGTGCGATTTCGTGGAAGCAATGAATCCAGGAGTGAAACTAGTAAGGTATGTTAAGCAATTGTTATTATATTTTGTCATCATATCATTATTAAACACGTTTGGTCAAATTTGTAAGCCTGAACTTTAGTTTAATCAATCAAAGAAAGCAAAAAATATCTTTGATTCCCCTCTGATTAATACATATCGTAGTTTAAAGTAAAAAACCGCGTACCAACAAAATGCAAAACCGCTTATCAAGATAATGCAAAACCGCGTATGTGAGGTTTCATAAATTCTTTTGTAGATAGTAAAAACACTCATATTTCAAAATGGTTCCCTTTTTTCGTAATCGCATTTCTGGCTAGTATATTTCAGGGCGAATGGATAAGGCTTGAGCCAAGAGCTTGTGTGAGCAAATCCAGTTTTTGGCAAAAAATGTCAGTTACGCGGTTTTGCACAAGCGCGATAAGCGGTTTTGTAGTTTAAACGACAATATGTACAAATGTGCTTTATCGAAATCGGTTGACGTGGTCCAAAGTTATGCGGTAACTTACATAAAACAAAAAAAAAACAAAAAAATATATATATATTCCGACGAACCGATAACCTCCTCCTTTTTTGGATGTCGGTTAAAAATAGAAAGTCAAATTGAGAGCAAGAGAGGTTTTTAGGTCCTAAAAGTCCGTTCCCTGACTATAGGTGTTAACTAAAACTCACCACTGCAGGACCGTGATGTTGTGGTTACCCGTAGAGAGGTTTCTCTCTCTCTATCAACAGCAAAAAAAATAATCTTTTCACAAAGTACTGCATCGTCCTTTTAGAAGATGCCTTAATAGATGCATGAATTTTTTAACAGAAATCTTCTTCGAAAGTATCGCAAACATTCAAGTATGGCTGACTTTCAAAACGTTAATTGCTTTGCATACGTACAAAGCAGGGTTGTTGCGAATATTCGCAACCGCGGAGCTTCCGCATACATTTTAACATTCGCATTCGCAATAATCAATACGGAGCTTTTGCGAATGCGAATGTTTTGCAAGTGCACCAATAAAACGTATATATGGCAAACAAAATAACAAATTGTAACCAATATTTTTGACTGTGGTCGTGGGAGTATTTGTGTAACAAACCTGGTCAAATGTCATATTTATCAACTTTGATAAAAATGTCTTTAAACATATTATTTCCTAAGCTATATAACCTAGCTATCAATGGACAGCCATAAAAGTTCCCACTTCTACTTGAACTTTGACGTACGTCAAAGAGAACATTGTCCTTTTAATAATATTTTTTTTTGCTGTGCTTTAAATACCTGCATTGGTTTCTTTCTTTATTATGATCTTTTTGGACCAATGTTAAAAAAAAACTACTAGACACAAAAAAGACGAAAGTGTGCACTGTAATTCTTAACCAAATTTTCGAGATTTGATTTTGATGTTACATATGTGTGTTCGTATGGAATAGTAGCTTATGTCGACAAGATGGCTTTAGTATAATGCGGCATTCCCTTTATCCTTTAAACGACAAGGACTTATTTGATGAGACTTAATAAGAATATTGACTTGCTAGTATCGGAACTATTTCTTGCACGTTTATTTGCCAAAAGCTCTTCAACGGCTCAGCGCCAGTGAGTCATCCGCAATCGTAGGCTGTGAATGCCGCATTATACTAAAGTCAGCTTTTCGACATAAGCTACTATTCCATATGAACCCAGATATATTCGTTTAAATAATTTCAAATGGGGCTCTTTGAGGAATTTATTTTCAGCAAACATTTTAAAACCCGTCATTTTGTTTACTTGTCGGGCAATGTTTTTTTCATAGGGATATACATATATGTATAAGATCCTTGACTAATAACTTCTGTGGCAAAACTGTCCCTTGTCGGCTATTTAAGTTAAATAGGGAATTACAACAGAAATGATCAACGTCTCGCTATAAAGAGAATCGATGCTCAAATAATTAAAAAAGCTATAGGTCTTACCTTTAATTAGATAAGAATTACGTAACTATCCGAAATTCAAACACTTATAAAAAAACGGGGTGCTTTTTTAAAAAAATTAAAATATTGTGATCCTATTCGGCTGGCAGCCACGACGTTGAAAACAGAATTTTGTCCAAAAATAATAATTTATTTTCCATAACCACCTATTTAGCTCGCAGAAGAAAGTATTAAAAATGAATTATAAAAACTAAAATCGAAAAACGTTGATTACAGTTACAGATTCCCCAAATTCTGAAACAGTCAAAGGAATGAGAATGAAGAATTCTTTTTAAAAAGCTTTAGAAAAACCTGACATATGATCTCGCCATTATGCCAGATTCTAACTGTTTCTTATAAATACTTGACATCCGCATTCGCTTCCGCATCCGCGGATGTCTAAAATTCCACATTCGCAACATCCCTAGTACAAAGTATAATGTTCCATAACTCCGAACTACAAAATATTCACAATATACTTTTCCAAAACGCATTCGAAATGTTATCGGATCGCATCGTTAGAGCAATCAGTGCATCAGAAACAATGTTTATGCTTCGTTTGTTACTGTTGTTGTTGTTGTAGCGGCTACAACAACCCCGCCTTGGACTGTTTGTTACTGGTTACCATTGGTGTTTTAAAAATGGAAATTTCAGAAAAACTGTTCATTGCTATATTGAATATTTAAAATATGCAATGTATATGGTTGCAATGTGACGCAACTCTGCATATACAAACAGTTTGAATACCGCAGTATAGCGGTATCCAAACATTGTATTGATACGTTTTGGAAGTCAGCTTATGCTTTAAATTTCGCTATTATATTAAACGACTGTTATGTTATCTCCAACATTTCTCCCTACATCCGATAACTAAGCGTCCGCTACTGTGAAGAGAATATCCATCATGTTCTCTTCACATTTCTTAGCCTTCATATCTTCCAGCTGAAGCACTATCAATGGAAATTAAAAAAAAAAACATTTCACAAATATTTTGGCGACCTTTAGCCACTCGCTTTTACCAAACCCTGTGTGAACTTTTTACATACTGAATTTTAATTAAACTATTCAAGTGGTAACATCAAATTATTTTGTTGTAGAAACGCTGTTATTTTAAGGGACCGCGATATAACTGGAGAGCTAAAAGATGTATGGAATGCGGTACAAGCCCAAAGGGATCGAGAGCGTGAAGAGCAAATTATCCAGCAACGACAACAGCAACATTTTCACAATGTCACCACTCAACAGATGTTTCCCAAATCTACAGAATCAATACGAAATTCAGAGCAAAACCTGGACAATAGCTCATATTCAGATAGGGTGAACAAAACACCGCTTAATAGTCTAGCTGAGAGAACCATGGTTAGGAATGATTCTCCGCTATTAGGTAGCGAAAGTTCTGCTTCGAGACAAGATTTTGATCATAATAAAATTAACGCTATGAACACAAACCACTCAAAGGAAAGAAGTGAATTGTGTGCCAAGGCTCTAAACGAAGAAAATGCAAGTGGCGG